TGGGGCGAGTAAGAGGGTGACATGTGGGGTTACCCATTATTTTATTAAATAATGCTAACTACATTGTTGGTTGTACTTTTTTAAAACAAGTTTGACACGTTTGAATGCCACGTCAACTAGCCTAGTCCAAAACCACGGCCAAACAATGCTCAGGGGAGTTAATTTTTCGGTGTAAAAAGTTGAGAATGTTGAATGTCTGATTTTATACTTTATGGGTGAATGTCTGATTTTACACTTTATGGAGTAATTCATACACCACAATAGTTTAAGAGGTAATTCATACTTTATCCTTGCTAAAATTATTGGCTAGTGTGGTACTATAGGCAAGCAATAGCATACTTCTATTCTGGTTGGTGATCGAATAACTAGTTATGGTCAGAACGGTTCTAAATTTAAATTTAAAATATATACATACTTATATTCTCTCAACGTTCTTGATCTATCAGAACCATTTATTTAGGGTTTATTCAAAATGTTAAAACCATGCTACTCTAACATGGAAGTCATTTATCCCCTCCTCGCAGTGTGCAAAATGCACAACGTACCACAGCCTCCTTTGAAAAACACGAAACAAACACCAAGTGATTGGTCAACTAAAAAAACCGATCAGATATTCACACCTCTAATCCATCTCTAGATATATGAGTCGATCTATTGCAATATACTTACAACCACAAGTTTATACAAATCTTAAGAACTAATCCACAAAAAAGTTCTCTGCAATTCCTTCATTCCAAAAGGAGGGTTTATGGTGAGTTTGCAACGTGGGTGGGGAGACTGGGGGCCTCTCTCTCCCCGAGCTGATGTGATGCTAACTTATCACGAGCCGCTGTTGTTTCGCATTGACTTGGGCCAAGCATGGCTGCTACTCCAGCTAGGGAGCAAAGCAAATCTATCACCCTCAACCACCTCAGCCTCAGCAGCATTGCCCGGGCAGCACAGGCGCTACTAGCCTTTATTTTCTCTTGTCGCCATCAGCGTCCTAACGCTCTCGCCGGGCTTTGATCTAAATTACCTGTACCAAGATGAGGAGAATTCAATCCTTCGGTTTGTGGTGGTGGTGGTGGTGGTACTACTACTGATCGATGAGCTGATGATGAGAGGTGTGGTGACTTTGGAGGCAAGCTAAGGAACAAATGCGATGGGAATTGGGTGTTGTGATTGTGCATGACAGGATGCTCCCTGGAAGTGCTTTGCATAGTTCTAATGAACAGGACCAAATTTAAACGGAGACAGTCCCAGCGTTATTTGCTATCCTATCAGTACTTAGTATTTATGTTAACCAGTGTTATGTGTACTACTTGTACCTCGTTAGTTGTTACTAGCACTTCGTATAAGAGTTAGGACTTTTATGGTGATCTCGATAGTAAATAAAAATAGTCGTTCAAAAGACAGTAAATAAAAATGAGATTAATGGCTTCTTTAGAACGTAGAAACATTAGTTCATTCTCATAAAATTCTTTCAATTATTTTTGATACAAATTCCTAACAAAACCTAATGCCTTGCTCAGCTTAGCTAGCTGCGGCAACACAATCGTAACCATCACCATTCATTTATTGCTATTGGTATTTTATAGCTCAACGTTTCACTTATACTTATGTTTATAATATAAGTTAAACTTTAGAATTTAAATCTAAATTGTAGAGTTGATTTTATGTTTTTTTTACTTTATTTTACAATACTAGCTTGCTTTTAATCGCATTGGACAATATATAAATTTTTATCATAATTTATTTTGCTAATAAGTAGTATAAGTATAAGCGAAACGATAAGCGGTTAGTTCCCGGCTTCCCGGTACATTATAGCCGCAACAAGCACAACTGAACAGAGCCTAATCCTTCAATTGATATGACCCCTCCCAACTTTAAGTAATAGGAAAATTACATGAATTGGATATGTCGTGACATATGCAATCATACACAAATTGAAAAATAGAGCAGCTAGTCGAATTGACCGTTGAGTGCTTCGCAGGAAACTCAAAGGAATTTAAGAGAATTTTTTTTATTAGGATAGAGTTGAGTGGATAGATAAAGAGATATGATGTATTGGATATCTCTTAAATCAAAACCATGACGAGCTTCTGTTTGAATTCTCGATAAATTGAAGAAAACAACTGACCCCAAATCCTTCAAACTAAGAGGCTCTGACGTAATTTGAATCCAAATAGCCCTAACCAAATCCCTTGTTCCAAAGGAGCCTCTAAAGGAGGTTTTCTAGAGGGGTTTTGGAATATTTTAATACTACTACATAAAATTTTCATACGCGTCCTTTGGAACAAAGAAACAACCTTCCAAAATTCTACGAAATTCCTCTGTTTAAATTCCTTTACCCTTTTCATTTAAACCATCCAAACAACATATTTAAAGCATTCCCGTGTTTTTTTATGAATCACACAAATTTGACAAGTAGTGACATTTCAATTCTTCATTTTTCTCGTTCTTGTATCTTTGCACTGTTCTTCTTCAAATAAATACACTACACATACTTCTCAAGCACCTGTATCTTTGGTGCTTGGGAAGATAATTATCACAAATTTATCATCTACTCACTCCGTCTCATTTTAAGTGCAGCAATGGTTTTCCGCGCCTAACATTGACTGTCCGTCTTATTTATAATTTTTTAAAAAAGTTTGAAAACATAAGTCACGAGGAAAATAATATTCATATTTTATCATCTCATAAAAAAATAATAATTATAAAAAAATTTTAAATAAGACGGACGATCAAAGTTGGACGAAAAACTTACTTACGATTGTAGTTTAAATGGGGCGGAGGGAGTAACACGAAATTACAAAGAGAAAGAGTGGGAGGCATAAAATGTTGGAGAAATAGACATATAGCACTAAATTACGAAGAGAGAAAAAAAATACCAATATAAATTTCAACCACCTGTATCTTTCGTGCTCTCCATTTCACGGCGTGCTCCAAAACCTCATCACGATCGAGCTGACACTTGACACAAGTTGGTTTACCACGAGATGAGTGAGATTGAGAAGCACCGGAAGCAAAGCAAAGCAAAGCACATGTGAGAGAGCGAGAGAAGGAAGGAGCAGGTCCAGCACCGATCAGCCAGCCAGCAATCCCATCCACCTTGAGAATCTGCACCACACCACCTCCGAACCCCATGACACGCCTCCCCATCACATCCCACACACCCCAATGACAGACGCCCCCACACACCTCCCCATCATTTTCAGTTAGGGTGTTGTTCAGTCGGGGAAAAGAAAATTTTTGGTTGTCACATCGAACGTTTGATCGGATGTCGAAAGGGGTTTTTGGACACGAATAAAAAAACTAATTTCAGAACTCGCCTGTAAACCACGAGACGAATCTTTTGAGACTAATTAAGCCGTCATTAGCACATGTGGGTTACTGTAGCACTTATGGCTAATCACGGACTAATTAGGCTTAAAAGATTCGTCTCGCGATTTCCCCCATAACTGTGCAATTAGTTTTTCTTTTTATCTATATTTAATGCTTCATGCATGTGTCCAAAGATTCGATGTGATGTTTTTGGGAAAAAAATTTGGGAAACTAAACGGGCCCTTAGACAAATCACAAATCCCCTATTTTTCTTAAAAAAAACCCAACTTAGCCCTAGTGGCTGTTTGGGATAGGAGTGATTAAAATTTTCTGTGAGAGGGACTAAAATAACTCCCTCCCATCCAAACACCACCCTATTAATATTTTCAACTGGTTTTGGCTACTGGAGTAATCCCTTCATCCAAAAAAACCAAATCTAGGACTTTGATGGGATATAATCTAGTGCAATGAATCTGGATAGGCAGATGGGACATAATCTAGTGCAATGAATCTAGATAGGATTCGTTGTACTAGATTATGTCCCCTTGAAGTCTTAGGTTGTGTTTTTTTGGGACAGAGAGAGTCACTGAATTATGGTGGTTTTATTTTTCAAACGGCTAAATAATAATAGTACCCTCTCCATCCGATAATACGAGGGAGTATGTCTTTTTTTTTCTTACCAAAATTAAGAAAGTGACAGAAGGGCAAGGCATAGTTCAAAATGTGATGGTAGGAAAATAACATAGTTCAAAATCTAATAGTTGGGGGGGGGGGGGAATAAACTAGCTAGTATAGAAAAAGGGAAAGGTAGAGAATAAACCAGTACAGAAGATGACTGATGAGAAATACTAAAACACTTTCTCGCCAATTACAAAATCTCTTACTCCTATATTGTAGGATAAATTTGAAAGATGTAATATCTTAAATTTTGTAACAGAGGAATTACGATTTTTGACAAAACTTCGTATATAAGAAGTTTATTTAAAAAATCATAGTATAAATTTGTTTTCAAGTTTATAATACTTAATTAATCAATCATGTACTAATTTAGTATCATCTACGATAAATCAAGCGGCTACTCGCTTGGTTGCTTTAGTTTGATTGAGATTTTTCTTTTTTGAACATTGAGATGGCTAAATAGTTGAATGATTGTATAAAAGCTATTCGAGAATACTACACGCAAACAAATTAACTCCTATAAAATTATAAAAATAAATTAAAATAGTTTTATTAAGGAAGCATATATATATATATATATATATATATATATATATATATATATATATATATATATATATATATATATATATATATATATATATATATATATCTGCGAAAATCGTATCATTTAGAAACCTGAGAAGGTGCTGCTGAAAGGAATTGTTTCATTTCTTAGAAAAGAACACGCTACTGTGATTTTATCTAAGGGAGATGAAGATTTTTAGAAGGTTTTGATGAATATTTAGCTAGTGATAATACGGAGAAGCCATGTTAATCCGATCTTTTGACTAGTAGACTAGTAGTACAAGTTTATTTTCAAACCTATGTAGTAGTCATTTTCCAAACGAACAGAACCATTATTGCTAAATTTTCTTCGAAGTGAAAAAACCAGACGACTGTTCCGTGAATCCGGATATTGTAACCGCAGAACGTCTGTGTATGTGTACATGTACATGTGTGCACTCACCAGATACTCCCCCTTTCTCTCCTCCTATGTGCCACCACCTCCTCACACATTCCCACGCACACATTTCCCCATGCACATCTCCCTCAATCTCTCTCTCTCTCTGCATAGATGCTGCTACTCCTACTTGCTAGCCCTACTACTCCCTACCACACGGCCACACACACAGCAAGCAGAGCAGACGGCTTCGCTTTGCATGGCCACTGGAGTTGTTGCTGTTCTTCTTCCCTTTGAGCAGCAGCAGCAGTGAGCCGTCCTGTGGTGTGTTGGTTGTCACAGTACTGTGTGGTGGTGGTGGAAGTGGAGGAGCAAACCTTGGACATGAATTGAGAGGCCCCTATCTTTTCCTGTCCATCTCTCAGTAGCAGTGAGCTGAGTGAGTGAGTGAGTGACAGTGAGTGATGGATTGATGTGTGATGCCTCACTAGCTGAGCCCCCCCCTCCTCCTCCTCCTTCCTTTGTGGCAAATCTCATCAGCAACAGGGACCTCTTGGTGTGACTACTTTGTTTACACGGTGGTTCTCTCCTTTTCTTCTTCTCAGCGTCGCCGTCGTCTTCTTTCTCCTTCATTCATTCAGACTTCATCAGAGTAGTAGTAGTAGGAAGGAGATAGTGTAGACAAGAAGTGTGTGTGTGTGTGTGAGAGAGAGGTAGAGAGATGGAGAGGAGGAGGAAGGCAATGTGGCTGTATCCAAAGGTGGTGGGCTTCAACCCTCCGGAGAGATGGGGGCACTCCGCTTGCTTCTTCGAGGGCGTCGTCTACGTCTTTGGGGTATGTGCTTACAATCCTTCCCAACTCTCCTCTTCATAAAAAATGGCTCCTGCAAGATTCTGCTTCTGCACATTCCTCTGCTTTTTGACTTCTTCTTCTTCCTCAGTTTGCTGCTTGTATCATCCATGAACCTCGTTAGATAGTTGTGCTCCCTCTCTCTCTCTGCAATTGGAAGCATATGTCGATGGTTTTCTTAGTTTTTTAGATTAGGCTGAACTTGATGAGGAGGCTGTGAATTCTTTTTTAGGAGAAGAAAAAGATGCGTCTTTTTTGGGGGTGTTAATCTTGTGGAGTTTGGGTTTTGTCCTGTTGTAGCGAGGTCCCCTGTGATGAATGATGTAGCAAAATGTTTAGCAGCTTTCAACTAAAGTTGAAGACCGTGAGAAGTCAGTCCTTGCTGTAATATTCCTCCTGGATGAAAAAGTTGTAGTAGTAGCAAAAGAAAGTAGCTTTTCCTTTTGATCGATAGATTACTGTCAGTTTGTCATCACCTGCAAATATATGTTCTTGTCTTTTTTATCACCTCAGATAATCTTCTATAGAAGTAGTAGGATGAAAACCTGTTTTTTTTCCATGAACATTACAAACACTGAAACAATTGTTTTGGAACAGTTGTTCTTCAGAAATTTCATTTGCAGTGATTCCACTGAACTCATTCAATAGGCCGGTGGAAGTTAGTGGCAAATGTACTAAGAAAAAAACAAACGAAAAAGAAGCAAGAGGACCTTTTCGTTGCTGTTCTTTCTCTTTCCCCCTGGCTTTTGGACCACTCCCTTTCTTTGCCTCTTGATATGCTGTGATTCACCGACCGAAAGATCGCTCTTTTAATGCTCTTAATTAGCACCTGTTTAGTAGCAGTTACAGTTTAACCTGAAATTACGCTGAAAAAACCAATCTTCTGTTTTGCCATGTTCTTTGCTGTGACGAAATGCAACTGACTTTTAAGTCTATGGTCAGTTTAGTAGGAGCAGCACAGCTTAACCTGCAATTATGCTGAGAAACCAGTTTTTTTTTTTTACAATGTTTTTTGCTGTGAGAAAATGCAACTGATTTTCAATCAACAGTGAAGTTTAGTAGGACTGCAGAACAGCTTAACCTGCAATTATGCTGAAAAAAAACAACAGTTTCCGTGCAATGTTCTTTGCTGCGATGAAATGCAACTGATTTTCTGTCGATTGTCTAGTTTAGTGGGAGCATACAGCTTAATCTACAATTATGCAATGTTTTTTTTTTCTTTGTGATGAAGTTGCAAATTAAACTGATGGATGTGGATGGAGCAGGGGTGCTGCGGCGGGCTGCATTTCAGCGACGTGCTGACGCTGAACCTGGAGACGATGGCGTGGAGCTCGCTGGCGACGACAGGGGCGCGGCCGGGGACGCGCGACAGCCACGGCGCGGCGCTGGTCGGCCACCGGATGATGGTGTTCGGCGGCACCAACGGGTCCAAGAAGGTGAACGACCTCCACGTGCTCGACCTCCGGACCAAGGAGTGGACCAAGCCGCCGTGCAAGGGCACGCCGCCGTCGCCGCGTGAGAGCCACACGGTGACTGCGTGCGGCGGCTGCGACCGGCTGGTGGTGTTCGGCGGCAGCGGCGAGGGGGAGGGGAACTACCTCAACGACGTGCACGTCCTGGACGTGGCCACCATGACGTGGTCGTCGCCGGAGGTGAAGGGCGACGTCGTGCCCGCGCCGAGGGACAGCCACGGCGCCGTCGCTGTGGGCAGCCGGCTGGTCGTCTACGGCGGCGACTGCGGCGACCGGTACCACGGCGAGGTGGACGTGCTCGACATGGACGCCATGGCGTGGTCAAGGGTAAGGGGTCCCGTCCATGTCACGTATGTTGGGGGGGGGGGGGGGGGGGCAGATGCTGATGTTTCCGGTGCAGATCGCCACCGTTGCTTTCGGCCTCCACACCGTCCTGCCTCTGCCTGCACTGCTGCTGCTAGGATTAGATGCCACTATGCAAAATTTCAGGAGCTTATTGATTTCTGATGCTGACTTCTTTTGCCTCTGCGTGTATTAGTAATAGTGTAGTACGACTGTGACATAATTTTTCAGTGTGTACGTTTTGTCGGTAATTTGGTTGGTCTACCTCTCACAGTGCCACAGCTCATAGGAGTACTAATGATTTGTATAACTAACACTTCTAACTAACCTGTCAGTGCTGAATAAACACTTTCCTAACCGTTGATGACTAGACTGAAACTACTGCAATTTGCTTTTATACCAGCTTGAAAACTATAGTCCATTGTGTTACATTAGAAATGCTCAGTGAATTTTTGCTCGTCTCTGATAATGTTGTTGCTGATTTTACAGTTTGCAGTAAAAGGGGCCTCACCTGGTGTTCGAGCTGGCCACGCTGCTGTAGGTGTTGGATCTAAGGTGAGCACCAATTATTGGAACAATGGAGTTATAAAATTTTGTGAGGGAAAAAAGAAAAATCTGTTGTGCCACTTTCTAAGCAATGCGCACATCGTGTAGGTCTATGTTATTGGAGGAGTTGGTGATAAGCAATACTACAGTGATGCCTGGATTCTTGATGTTGCAAATCGGTCGTGGACACAGCTTGAGATATGTGGGCAGCAACCGCAAGGACGGTTTTCTCATAGCGCGGTTGTCCTGAATACCGATATCGCAATTTACGGAGGGTAAGTTTGCATGAAAAATTTAGCACGGTACTACTATATATCTGGGGAGCAATTTGACATACCTGGCAAATTCACAGGTGTGGTGAAGATGAACGGCCCCTGAATGAGCTGCTCATTCTTCAGTTGGGCTCTGAGCATCCAAATGGCCGTTACAACATCTCAATGTGCAAAGTTCTAAGCAACCACTGGAGCCAGGAGAGGCGAAAATTCTTGAGAACAGAAAATGTGAGTACCTAACTTTCTTATGAGTAGGCTTGATGTTAATTTCTTCCGCAAAACTTAATATCATGAATGGGATATTACAGCAAAGAGATCCAAACATGAGTAATGGAGAACTTGGTCCAAGATCTCGGGAAGCAGAAATCGAACAAAGAAACCCGTTCTTGCGTGGTCTCGGTAAGAAAATATCTTACAAAACTAAAATGTAGAGTTGTCATTGTTATGTTTACATCCAATGGCTACATCGTTTACGTTCTTTTCAGAGAATGGCCATGTGAAAAGGAGGAGAACTGGCGATGTTCGACTGAAAGAGACCGAGTCGGAGCAGGAGGAGCACTCACTATCACTTTCTCAGCACTCTTCACCATCCCAATCTGATCAGGAGCAGAATGGAGCTCAGAAGCTTTCGGCATCTCCTAACGGATCAATCTCAGCCCTGCAACCGTTTGTTCACCTCAACACCAATGGCACTCTGAGGGCTGCTGGAGGTGTGTCACCGAGGACCCTGAAGACGGATCAGTTCCTCCGCACCATTGCTCCGCAGCAGCGGCATGAAGTGCAGTTCCTAGCAGCTGAACCCAAGCTGCACCACCGCCCGCCTACTCCACCCCTTGTATGGCACTCTTTTCACAGCACTCTTCTTCCAACTCTGGCGTGCCATATTGTTCATGTCTCTTGATGAATTGCTTGTCTACAGATCGGCGCAGAGGTTCATGGGACTATCGATGGAGCTTTCGATTCAGGGTACCTCATGACCGCTGTCGTGAATGGACAGCTCTTCAGAGGCGTCCTTTTCGCTCCTGTAAGCAATTCGCATCCGAAAAAGCTAATTGCAGATGATGATACACATTGTTCATCCTCGCATTCTCATGACATTTCCCGCCATTCCTACTTCCATATCAGGGTCCGGGAGTAACGGCTCCGAGACCGACGTTGCACCATCCGATTCTGATGAGCTCGGCCATTCCCCCGCAGCAGCAGCAGCAGCGCCCGGTGCTCGCCCACGCCATCCCGGTTCATGCCCGGCCCGTGCCACAGGCGACGGGCTTCGTGCTGCCGGACTGCAGCAACCATGCCCGGCAAGCATTCCCGGCGTCTGCAGCGGCGGCAGCGGCGAAGATCATCAAGTCTGAACCGGAGAGGGGCGGCAGTGACCTGCACGATGTTGTGCTCACGCTGGGAGGGCCTGGAGCTGGCAAGTGACACCTCTTTTCTTGTTTTAACACTTGTGATCTTGGCCTCTGATGTTGATCTGTTAATCTGCTCTTGTAAAATAGTCATCCTGGTTGACAAAAATAAGACCAGTAACCTTGTGTAATTGTTCCTGATAATGCCCAATTTTCTTCTTCCTGCGTGTTAGATATATTGATATAGTGCTAGTTTGATGCGACTAGTTTTTTTTTTGGGTGCTTGCAGTTATTGTCATTATATGGAGTCAATTGCCTTCATGGAAAAGGTTTTGTGAGTAGGGCTGTGTTTAGATCCAAAGTTTGTATCACATTTCCATCACATCAACTTGTCATACACACACAACTTTTCAGTCATATCATCTTTAATTTCAATCAAAATTCAAATTTTGCGCTGAACTAAACACAACCTAGGATGAGTTATCAACACAGCCTAGGATGAGTTATCATGGACTCTCAAACATGTTCTTTTCTGATTTAGTACAAGTACTGAACGATTTTGCTTCATTTTCCATCGTGTCTGTTTCACGCTGAACGACAGTTGAGCAGAGCTTGCAATCAGTACTAGCTGTAGCCTGTAAGGATTGATCAGTCCAATCCATGTCTGACAGTACAAATGGCACAAGGGAGTAAACGAGTGGACGAAGAGAGAATTCAAAAGCAAAATTGGGTATAGATGACCAATTGATTGAGTTGTTGTAGTAGTACTACTTTTGTCGCAGTCACGGCCAGAGATTAGGATTCTTATCGCCCACATCAGGCAATGTACGGATAATAGATATACTCTCTAGTTTTACATTGATGGGTTAATGATGTTGGTATTTTAGTTGTTATTACGAACTTGACAATTGGATAAAAACCGATATTGCATGGTTGAACATTCAAATTTTAAACCAATGTCATCAACAGTGAAATCCCGAAAAAAAATAGGTTATGCCAATCTTGATTCTCCGACCTATGGTATATTGGCACCCATGACAACTTTAACAAATTATTGATTCATCGAAGCGACTATAATCTTAGAGAAAATATCTTACCACACAGCCTCCATCTCATATTACAGCTACCTCTAGCAATCAAATTTGAATTAAAAAGGTTCCACTCACACATCTCGCCCCTATATGAATTAAAAAGGTTCAACTCGGGACCATTTTTTTTGACCAAATAAATTACCTCAAATTTGATTTAACATATTCGATCCCTTTGCACGGGATGACAAGACAGAAGCCTATGCAAGGTGTTCTCTTGAAAGGCCTTGTCTCTCGTTCTGCACGCAATTACTTCCTGTCCGAATGGCTTCTCCTGTTCACAAAGACTTATCCACAACACACTTGGGACTAGCATGCACATATCATTGTCAGGGCATCAAACTGATAGCACACTGACTACAAGAGATGGAAACAGCAACGATTCTGTAGTAGGATTCTTGCTTCAGTACTGTATGTCTGGAGAAGCCATTTCGTTCAGAAAGTAAGCAAAAAAGAAGTGTTGGAGAAAAGCCTCCTCAGACAAGACTACACGTTGCACTTGAAGAAAAAACCCTTTACCCTAGCATGCCTCTGCTTCTTGAAAAAAAAAAGCAAGAAAAGGCTGGAACAGCATCCTAGCCATGAGGTATATCATCCTCTACATGGAGCAGTAGGAAGAAGGGAGAACAGTTCACTCAAACGAATCTGCTTTGTGCCGCTCGCCGAAGAATCACGTGTCACCGACAAAGTAAAATTACCGAGGATAAACATTTCAGCGTCCCTTGTCGGCAATCCTCTTGAGTAATTTCCCGATGCCATAGCATATCTCAATCTTATCTTCCTTGATCATTTGGCGGATCGAACGGCTTGTCTTGCCAGCCGCCAAGTAGGTCCGCAGGAGGGACTCATATGCCTTGCCATCAATGCATCCTGACGTTCTCAAGCAGTTGAGAAACCTTTCGGCACCTTCCACATCCTTGTGCTCTTCGAAATACTTCAAGAAACAGCTGATCTTCTCCTGATCTAGCTTCGATTTCTTCCTGGGAAGTTTGGTCATATTTTCAACCCAGTTCAAAGCGGAGGTCATGTCCCCTTTCCCCATGTAATGCTCTAGAAACAACTCACATGTTTTGGAATCAAATTCTGCACCTTTTTCCTTAACCTTCTCCCATAGTAATTCAGCTTCCTTGGTCAAGCCATTTCTTAGATGTGCTCGGGTCATCATATTTGTCAGCCTCGCATCATAATTTTCATAATTAGATTCCCAATCCTCATAAATCTGCTTCATGCGATCATCGTCATTGAGTTTATAAAGAGCTTGAAGCATGCCGAGGTAGCTGGTGTTAGTCACCTTCTGAAAATTAGCCTTTATCAGGTTCCACACTCTGTTGACCTCACTCAGATTGCCTACTGATGCATATAGGCTCATAAGGAAATCAAAAGGCTGCCTGCCAGCTTGAACATCGATGAGACTCTCGAGTTTCTTCAAAGCAGATTCCGCTTCTTCAACCATATTAGCATTCACATAGAGGGAAGCGAGTGTGCTATATGCAGACCACCCTAGAGCCACTTTTTTTTCTTCCATTTCTTTTAGAACCTCTCCAACAGTATCTATCTTGTTCAATGCTGCATAGCTACTCATCAGCAGGCAGCATGTGAGGTTATCCGGTTTAACATTCTTCACTTTCATCTCCTCAAACAGGCTTGTAACCTTCCTATGCTGGCCTATCTTCACGTAAAGAGACATCAGGTTGTTGATAGGAAGAGTACTGGATGAGATTCCTAGTTCGTCCATCTTGCGATAGATGTCTGTTGCTTTGTCTTCCATTTTAGCAGAGCAATAACAGTTCAAAAGTGCACCATAAGTTTTATGGTTCTTGCCTGGATCAGGGAGGCCAGCAAAGTATTGTTCTGCTGCTTCAATGCCACGCACTTTATAAATGAGATCCAAACGTATGGCATGGTTAGTGTATGACATGTTCATACCCTTAGTGTTAACCATCCATTCCATCAACTGCCAAAGAAATCAAGAAAAAAATGTTGCATAAGCATAATAAACAAAAACCAATAACAGAAGTACATACAGACTGGTATGAAACAAGATATGTTGAGAAGTTCAGTACTACTAATCTTTTCAGACCTTGAGGATAACTGAGAATATAGTTGTAACAACATGCTATTATTTTTATTGCAATATAGGCAGAAAATATGTCCATTCATCTGCTTAACATGCTGAACAACATCTACCATGTCAAAAGCAGGCAGGTTTTCTTGCAAAAGAGTATGCTACATCATCTAAATGGAGTCAGTCAGTGAATTGGCAGGGAGAAAACACCGAGCCCACCATCCTGACCTTAAATGGCTTAAAAATCCCTAGACCCCAAAATATCTGGATAGTGCATTCCACCCCCTCTAACCTCCAATGCTGGTCTTCCCTGCGTCGCTACTAAACACAAGATGCAACCGCTTTCTCTCTACCGCAGGCACCTCTCTGCACCAAATATTCCTCTCATGTTGCCAACCTCCCTGCACCATTCCCTCCCTCGAGTTCCTTTTATCCCCTCACATCTATGCACCATTCCATCCCCTTCCTTCCCCGCATCATTGCCATATCGGCACCACCTCCACCTTCTCACCACTCTTCGCTGCTTCTCTCCTCAGAGCTTCATCCATCCTCAGCCATTCGAAAGACAACAAGTGAAGGTTTGTTTTACAACTGGCATTGAAATCCCTCTGTAGGATCTACAGAGGTTATCAGTTTCATCTCCATGGTCATGCTATTCGATTAATTGTCATCTGGAACTGTTATGGTAATAATTTTGAAACAAGTTTTACAATATTTTGCTCTATGCTTGGACCTCTGGAAAATTCCATTCTACAGAACCAAAAGTCACATGGATGTAGGCTTATGAAACATATATGAATAAAATTTATGTCCATTCAGGGTCAATGACATATTTACGCTAGAAACACAGACATTGTAAAACAAAACCAGCATCCTGAGGTAACCACGCCATCGCACAGACAACTTGTGAGACAAAATTACATCTCAGGGGCGTAGGTAACCATATTTGGCAGCTGCAACTTGAAACTTGAAACAAAGAAAGCAAAAGAAGATAAGGCAAAATTTCCTCAAAAAATAAGGATATAAAGTGAATTGGGCCTAGCACACAAAATCCAGAAGTAAACTACAGCCTTCTAAAGTTAAGAGCACTAGAATAATTTGCTTCATTTTCTAAAAAGACTAGAATAATTTGCATATTTTGGATAACAAGTCCCCAATACAATGAACCCAATCAATCTAGCAGGTGTAATTACCAAGGTTAAAACTAAGATAATTAAAGTCCCCAATACAATGGAAGCAATCAATCTAGCAGGTGGAACTAAATCCATATTAAAATAAACGAACCTAGACTAAAAAACTGAACTAACCAGAGGAAAAAAATCCATTGGAACCCCTGAACTACTCAAAAGGTCTAGTTCTCAAGACGATCCTTGAACTCTAACAACCCTGAACTATCAAAACAGTTCAATTTGCTGAGTCCCCGTTCTCGTTGCTGCCAAACGTAAGTGTATTCGCATACAAATCAGGCCATTGCCAACTCCTATCCCCCCAACTGGTGCAAAATTGGGTAACACCTCATTTTCGATCGCCAATCGCTCCTGAAAAATGGCATCTCTCCTAGCAAAAGTGATATGATGCACAATCGCACATACCTCGAGGGCGTGGGCGTGGCGCTTGTACTTGCGAAGCTCCTTGACGTACTTGGCGAGATCCGCCGCGCGCGCCTCCCGCCCCTCGCGCACCCACTTGTTCATCACCCGCGACACGCTCCCTTCCCCCGCGCCCCCGAGCGCCGAGAGCCGCCGGTACAGCGACCGCGCGTCCTTCTCCTCCCCCGCCGCCGCCGCCGTCTTGGCGCCCTTCGCCGCGGCCTTCTCGGCGGCGGGAGCCACGGCCGCCGCCTCCGCCTCGGCGACCGCCGTGGAGAGGAGGCGGCGGAGGACGAGGCGAGCGGCGGCAGTGGGGACGGGCGGCGCCATGGGGGGTTTAGGGTTTTGGGAGGGTTTCGACTTTGGAGTGCGGGAGAGAAGAAGAAGATGGGGGAAAATCGGCGGCGATTAGTGGGCTGTAATTTGCAAGCCTTGGGGAGCATTTTCCCCTATTCACAATCCGGTTCAAGCCTTCAACTCAATGTAAAAAAAAAAAAAAGAAAAAAAGAAAGAGGGAGTAAATTTTATTAAACCTTACCTCCTTTGATTCAAATTGTATAGAGCCAATCACGTCGTTAACCATTTTGACATACTCCTATATCAAAATTTAACAAAGTGGATGTAAGATTTGTATCGCAGATAACAAAACTCATAAATTTGGGGTTTTGGACTATTTGCCATTCTCCCAGATAGCGTGTTCTCAAATGCCACTCTCCCGGATGACTTCGCTATTTTGCCATCGGAGAGAGAAGATTTCCTACCCGTGTGACATTTTTGAGCCCGCAAAGCGCCACGTCACCCGATCCGAGGGCAAAATGACTGCCTTGCCCTTCTTCTTCATCTAGCTCGGGTCCCTCTTCTCCAACCTTCCTCCCTGCGTGTGAGCCGGTGCACCACCACCGACGAACCGACGTCCTGGCGCTGGGTGGAGAACGACAAGGTAGGGGAAGCCCTGAGGGTGGACCTGGCGCAGGCGCCGACATCGGGGGAGAGTGCAAAAGAGCTGAGAGGAGGAAGGTGAAGTCGGCGGTGATGGGGTGAGGCACCGGCGATGCCACAAAAGAAAAGACAGGGGCCGGTGTTGGTCGCAGCGAAATGGAGCAGGGGCCGGGGAGGTAAGGAGCAGAGCGAAGGAGGGAGGAGTGTGAGGCGGGGAGCTCACCGGAGCCCAATAACCTCGCCGGAGCGAAGGAAGCGGATGAAAGAGACAGGAGGAGAAATGAAGAAGGGTAAGACGATCATTTTGTCCTCAGATCGAGTGACATGGCGCCTTGCGGGCTCAAAAATGGCACACGGGCAAGAAATCTTCTCTCTCCGGTAGCAAAATAGCGAAGTCATCTGGGAGAGTGGTATTTGAGAACACGCCATCTGGAAGAGTGGCAAATAGTCCAAAACCCCCATAAATTTGAGATGTGATTGAAGAACTCAAAAGTGTAATATAAAATAATCAAGAGTGTGGTTTCGTAAAACTTTAGGACAAGGGTTATATGTCACGTGCCAAAGTCTATATATCATAGTGCAATTCTTTTGGATCATAATAGGTGGAGTTTTATAAATTTTACTTAAAAAAAAAAACTCTATCAGGATGCCCACCTAAACCCGTAAAATAGGGAGTCCCTAAATCTCTTTTAAGCACACATCTCTACAAGTTTTTCATGTCATCACTAAATTTATATCGGTTAGTTTTCTGGCGGTATTCAACCAAACTTTTTTCGGCTCAGGTTATGCTCTACCAAGTTGGACTTTTTTTAGTTATATGTTTTCTTCCATGTGTACTACAAGGGGTCGGTCTATCATGCTGATGCGGTCGACCGCTCACGCATCCCTCTTCGCGATCACGCAAGCGCAAATAGCGAGAGGACCACGTGTGGAGAAGCAAAATCCGATCCAACCCAATTTCCCACCATCTTCTATTGTGGCCCACGTGCAAACTAGGGGAAAAGGCCACACGTTTGTTTATATTTACGTTGCTCAAAAATATTATACATTAAAACTCTATACATAGAAAGTTTATACATACAAACTTTCTACGTGGAAACATTAGATATATAACTTTATTTATAAAATATTTGGTACATAACTTTATACATATAAATATTTGGTATATAAACTTTATACTATAATTTAAACATGTAAAGTTTACGTGTATATAAATTTATATGTATAGATTTTTATTTTAAACATGGCATTATTATATGTTTGCTAGTCATCATAAAAATAAATAAGCAATAAATTGTAGAATTAAAAAGTAAAGAAAAAAAATCAAATTGGGCCGACCCTCAATGGCCCAATCTATAAGGCAAAATTTGCTACAGGACACCGAAAGATTACGGCCTTTGCTGTGAGACACCCGAAGATCGTATATTTGCTCGTGGACACTGTAAAAAAGTGGTAATTAGCTGCTGGACACTTGTCCATTATTTTATTATTTCTGGTCAAAATAGAGAAAGAGCTGTGTAAGTACCAAAATGCCCCTAGACACGTATTGTTCTTCCTCTCTCTCCTTTTCTTTTCCCCATTCTTCCTCGCGACGGCGGCTGTCCCGAGCCGGGATGGCTCGGCCACGGCGGGACGGCGACGGCGACGCATCGCCGGGGTTCATCGCCGACAGCCACCTCCGTCTGCCAGCTCACCCCGTCCCCACCTCTCCTCCCTGCCGTCCTCGCTTCCTGCAACGGCCGGCGCGGGCCGCTGGGGCGCAGACGGAGGTGTCGTGCTCCTGCTGTGGCTGCGATCCTACCAGTGCTTCCCGACGACGCGGAGGAGTGTGCCGGCGCAGATCATCATCAAACACGGTGATGAATTGTTTGCAGATTTTAGTCCCAAGCAGTTATTCCACATCTTTTTTTGGGGAATTATACTAGACGAACTCTAGATGAACATCAACTTACAAGGCAACACTGAACAAAGGTTGCATTTTTGGTCATTTTGAGTAGACCACACCAGCAGCAGCAGCCAGGGAGGACGCAAAGCAACACCACGGCGCAAAGACGTAATGCTTTTGCTCCATTCTTTAGTTTTTACCCATCAAGGATGGAGCTTCGTCATGGCAGCCTAGCGAGGCTGGTTGATGACACGGGGCGCGCCGCCGCTCCTTGGGCTACCGGCGTACTTGGTGGGCTTCTCGGAGTGTCGGGGCTTCTCCCGGAGCCCCCTCGGGCCGCGGCGCGTCGCCACCCTTGGGAGAGACTAGGCTCAGTGCCTTGAGCACCGCATCTGCACACACACATGGAAACATGGCGATGAATTCACCGCACTCCACGACGGCGGCGTGTCTTCCCCGCGCTCGCGCCGCCAACGTCGCAGCTGGAAGCGAACGGGATGACGACAGCGTGCGCCGGCGGGGAGGGCAGCGAGGAGGCTGGAGAGGGAGTGCTCGCGGAACGGCGACGACGCACGACGGCTCGGCCATGGCGGAGCTCGGCGGCAGCGCAACGAGAAAAAGATGAACAGAGAGAGAGGAAGAAGAAGAACAAAGAGAGATTAACAAGTGGGACTATGGTCAAACTTGTCTTTAACCAAAGTTTCTCTCTTCATTTTGACCGGAAATAATAAAATAATGGAATGAGTGTCCAGCAGCTAATTACCACTTTTTTACAGTGTCCACGAGCAAATACACGATCTTTGAGTGTCTCACAGCAAAGGCCGTAATCTTTCGGTGTCCCGTAGCAAATTTTGCCAACCTATAAATATCGCACACAAAAGGAAAGCGTGAGGAAAAGGAGAAAAAATGGAACACACGCGTTGCCGAAACTGGAAAAAGAAATCAGAACGGTTGTCCAAAATGGAAATTACGGTCTAATCGTGATCGATGTGATCCCGTACGTGACCGCTCGCTAAATATCCTTTTCACACTACTGGTGTGTTTAGATTCAAACTTTAAATCCAAACTTTTAACTTTTTTCATCACATCAATCTGTCATTTACATAAATTTTCAATCACATCGTACCAATTTTAACTCAAACTTTCAACTTTGAAAGTAACTGAATACAGCCTACAAGTAGCTCCATTATAATGATTCACAACTGATCGATTACACACTATCAGCATGTGATCGTGACATCGTATTAACTGATAGAAGATTCGACGAGATTTTTTTTTTCGAACGAAATGTTTCGATGAGATTTGACGATTTGCCAGTTTTTATGTAGGGGTTTTGATGATTTGTCATTCTAATCCACACGTCACTGTCATAGGGTGGCATGTGACAATATAAAAGAGTGGCAAGAAATGGTCATGTATCTTCCTGCCCTTTGTTTTTCGGTGTAGACTTAAAATGGTTATTTATCTTCTCGCACTTCGATTTTCGGTGTAGAAACAGATCGAAAATAGGAACACACGAGAATGTGCTATGTAGCTGCACAAAACCAATTAGGAGAGATACAAGAGGTACCCATCTCTTACTATCGAAATCCGTGCAAATTATCGAGCAATTAGCGATGCCACGTGGCACAGCGTGGTTCGTGCGTGCGCTCCCACACTTGAGAAGGACTAAAATATAAAAAACAATCTTACGTTGGAGTAAAATCAAAAAGTGCAAAGCCACCTGATGTTTCCGGAAGGGTCACGACTCTTGGTCTTCTATAATCTTGATTCACTCTTCATCTTCTATAATCGTTCCTCTTTTCTCTTGTCATTGTTTCACATTCATTCTCTATCTTGTCTGATCCACCGGGAGAAAGAGGTAGCGACCTCCGGCCGGTACCTCTGCGGCAAGCATGTCCTGCACAGAGACAACACCACGAGGAGGAGGCGGTGGCCTTCGGCCGGTATCTCTGCGGCGAGCACGTCCTGCACCGCGAGGACGACGTTCGCGAGTTCAGTGAATGGCAATCACATGTATTAGTGATATAAATATTGCAGATTTTTCATTCTTAAAAAAAAACCAGCTAGATCTGTTACTTCACTGATATATATTAGACTATTTGTTATAGTATAAGTTATTGGGAATGGAAGCATTCGGAAAGAAGTTTTACTGTCCCTTTGTTATTGTAAACGCATAATGAGGACCATCTTCATTAAGATAGAACCCTTGTAGAATATATTTTGTTTAGTGATGCTGGTACTACTCCTACTCTACCAAGTTCCAATATCATGAGGTTTTCTGTTTTTGTTTGACAATTTCGCCAATGATTAATTATAACATTTGAATTTTATTTGTTAAGTCTTTGCTTAGCTCCAGCTTTGGGGCTTGTATTGACTAGGAGACTACCCATGCATAAGAAGTTTCAGACTTTCAGTTGGTTAACTTAATTTAATTCCTCGAATATTTATTCCTGTGATTATCTGGTGGTTAAATTTCTCTGTTCTGCCACTATAGTGAAAAATTGACACACTTAATTTAGTGAGAACCACCCCAAGATATTCAGAGCATGGAAGCTGAGCCATGTAATTTAGAGACAAGCAGTTTGTCAGGCAAAAGAGCTTATGAAGATCCGAACAGTAATGATCAGGTAAACAATTGCTCATATTTAAAATCATTTGTTTTTCAATCATATAATTAACCTACTACTGTACTGTGCATAAGCTTGGCACCATTTCAAGCAAGTGTATTACCTTATATGGCTGCTTCAATTTCACGGTTACCTACCAGATACCCTGTTTACATGTAGTATTCACATATATACCTGACACTACATAGAAACCTCATACTTGCCCAACCTAGCTACTGCATTGTGTTAAGTACTGCATGAGAAAGAATTGCTGGTTCCTCAGTAACATACTTTGACAAGGATTCTAATTATTGTTTTTTTTTGGGAAAATAATGAAGAAGAAAACACTGACTTTTGCTATTTATAGCCCAAGCTGGATACTTTTGTTATCCTCTCATCTACCAGCCAATTTATTTTTGATGTATTTAGCACTCACCAAGAACCTACACTCATCTACTTTCCAGTTACTCTAATACAAAATTGATAGGGAGCTTTATTAAAATCTTCCATTATTTAAGTTCCAGATCAAATGTCTATAATATGTCACATACTCATACCCCACGGCGTTGCTGCGGAAAATTAAGTTGCATAATATGTACAAAACTAAAAACAATTTGATACAATTTTGAGCTTAAAAGTAATCGAGATTGTATGTTTTTAAGAGAGAAGAAAGAAGAAACAATTTAGACCATAGATCTATCATCCAAAGGCTAGAAATAATTAGGGTGATGTGGGTTAATGAGAAGAGAGAAATAGCATTAACTACACTTAGTGGAGATGAACTATATAAGTATATAGGATAACTATTGTGTTTTGTTCAGATTATACAGTCTATATCACATTATATGCCATAAATTAATTTTTAAAATTTAATACTCTGCTGTAGTAATCATGATTGTGCAATATAGTATTTTGCTACAACTTGCATTGTTGTTAAACTGATCATTCTGTCTCCATACGGCCAAATAGTGTGGCCCATCGAGTGTTGCACGCGGCAACGTCGCGTGTTTTTTTCTAGTTTGTTACTAAATAGGCATATCCCTTCTTTCTATAAAGTTAAGACCCAAAACTGAAACCACAGCATTCCACGTCATCAGTAATTGTCAGCCGTTCGATCGGTGGATGAGATCGCATCTGAACCGTTGGATAAGAAGGTCATCGGGTGAAGCCCAACGCCCCAGCCCATCACGGCCCGTGTCCTCTCTCTCCAGGGTTTCTTCACCCTCCACCGCATTGCAAACATCTGCCCGCCGCCACATGCGCTCGCTTCTCCTCCCCCATCCGCACGCGCCAGTTGCCGTGCTCGCTTCTCTCTCTCTCCCCCCCCCCCCGCATTCCCCGTGCGCGCCAGCCGTGAGCCCACGAGGCCATTCGCACCAAGCCATGAAGCGCCGCTCATCCGTTTGGGAGACAGATCGGTCGTGGGAGGGCAAGTGGGTGCGATGGCGATCCGTGCAGCTCGATGGTGGTGGGGGCCGGAGTCGCGTCACGCCCCGGCGCCATCCGCCCCGCCGTGGCGGCGCAGGCGGAGGAGGCGAAACCCTAGCGTGGGGAGATGAGGTAGACTTCGATGCCTCTCTATTTTGATTCTTGCGTCTCGTGATTGGAGGTCTCATTCGCGGAGCGGAGAGGGGAGAAGGAATTGAGGGGGATCGGGGAGGGGGGGGGGGGTTTGGGTGGGGGTGGTGGGATTTCGAAACCCATGGTGTGAGTTCTTGACATTTTTCGCTAGCTGTGTGGTTCAATGAATTCCAAAACCCTAGGTGTTAAGGGGTCCTGTTTTTGCAAGATCTTGAATCCCCACTTGTGTAAGACTATAATTAGGTTTCGTGTAAGCAATTTTAGGAGATGTATGATGCATTTTGTGGGTGACGACTATCCCTGGGGATAGGGCTTCATCAGCCTGCAAACATAATATAAAGGAATAATCGATTTGAATTCTCTTTCTGTTTAACCAGGTGACCACCCTTGATTGGTATGTCTGGACCAATACGCACATAGACATTGGAATTGATCTAAAGTGATTTATGCCGTACCAGGACGTTAAAAGTGATTTATGACAGTAAAACTTGAACCATAAGTACTCAATGATCTGACAGCATGTAATCATGTCAATCTGGATTAGAAAAAATAGAGAAAATAAATATCAACAAAAGTAAGCTTACCTATTGTAATGTAGATAAGAATAGGTAGAATATCATCAGCCCCTGATAGTGGTTGTTCATTTGACATTGACACATCTAGCAGCAAGTTATTGATGACTTGGCAACAGCTCATAATGCAATTAAGCTTCTCTGCCATAAACATCCTACTGAAGGTCAGAGTTAACTTGGCCATTGATGTCTTGGTGACTGACAGGTCATAGTATATTTTTCATGTCGAGCAGATGTAAAATTAAAGCAGCGATGAACCAATCATTGGAATAATCCAGGGAAAGAATTATCGTGTAAATGTTGACCCCATGCATTTTTATCATATATAATGTACATTGTGAACAAAATGCAAGCTAATCCTGGTTTTATATAAGAGATAATTCAAAGTAACCTTACACACTAATTTGCATTTTACCTTATGCCGTGATCGATATACAAAGCTTTCAGAGTACCTATGCATTTAGTACTGTTTTAGTTTCTTAAAAAAAATTCTACCTGCAACTTATACTTCTTTCACCTATCCCTTAAATAGATACAAAAATATTTGTTTGGCAACTTGAGGAGAAGCTTGACAATTGAAGCAGATAACCTTGCTCGGTATGTCTACTGTTCAACTCAACATATATTTTTCATATCTTCTGTACATCTCTTCTCTAATTTATCTTTGCAATATCATTTCATATTCCAGTTACAACTTATGGATATACTCCTACATTTAGCAAATATGATAGTTACTTCCGATATTTGTAAATATATAATCAGAATTAGTTAATTCTGAATTGAATTGGTTCTTTGCCCTGAGTGCTGATTTTAGTTCCTCAAAAAAAGTATCTGAATTTATTCTATTTGGTAAGCCTAAATTTGCCATGAATTTTGCCCACATTCTATTTGAGCATACATTATGATTTGAACCAAGTAGGAGCACTGTTAAAGTTTTGTGAATTGGTTTCTCTAAACCTAAGAAAGAATCCCTACCCTATGCACTGTTGTTGTTTCAGTTTCTTAAGAAAGGATTTCTAATACTTGCAGTGGATACTTATATGTCCTATAACTCTAATTAATTTGAGCAGTTGGAGAGCAACCAGAGGATTGGTATATAGATGTCCTGACATAGCGAGACTAATGTTGTGATTATGACTATAAATTTGAAACTTCTTGCAATCCAAATGAGTATTCTGTGTTCAGTGCTTTTAGCAATTGATGCAAATATCACATTTAATTGCTCAAGTAGCAGAACTATTCACTTATATCTCGATTCTTCCATCTATATTTTTTATACATTTTAATATTGTGTGCATATAGCTAAATCTAAAGGAGTTTTTGTTGTTTCTGATATTTGCAGGTTTTTGAAATTGTATACTACACTATATTCCTGTTTGATTTTTCATGTCTTTCAAGCAATAAAACAGAGCTCCACATTATTGGTTTATGAGCTTGATGCAGTTTCAAGTATTTCTTACTTGAGTACATATTTTGCCAATCAATTTTTTTTCATGTTCAAACAATACAATCTGATTGTTCATACTTCAATGCACATTTCATGTTTTCTAATGTGCCCGCGGCAACGCGCGGGGCTTCATCTAGTATCAATTAGAATAATAATACCACACTCCAGAGCATGCTAATCTGACAATTTGTTTTGAACGGCAACAAAAGCTTTGCCATTTATATTAACAGAGAAGGAGAAAAAGGAAACACATATACAGTGGTACTAAAATTCCACCCCTGCAAAAGAACCGCGAGTTAGGTGATCTCTCCCAAAACATGTAATTCTCCAACGTCGCAGCACCCGCTTTGACCCAAGTCCTAGCTTCCTCTTTTTATCTTAGCCACAATCGTGGTAGGAGTTGATGCTTGGTGACAGAAGATCTGTTAATGCGACAATGGGAACTATGGGGATTACCGATTACAGGAATGAGAATGCTGAAACATCAATAGTATCATATTTTGTAACCTCAATCCATGCATAATGTATATAATCATAGTCAAGATATGCATTAGCATTGGAAAAATTCACAAAATGCATCAGCGTGAAAATTCTCAGTGCTTTACTCCCTTTTTAAGGGACGGACGCGACTGACAAAAATCGAGCAGGCCATTGGAAAAATATGTAATTTTTAAGTAGGTAAAGATATACTCCCTCCGTTTCATAATATAAGTCATTCTAGCATTGCCCATATTCAAATAGATGTTAATGAATCTAGACATATGCATATGTATATATTCACTAACATCTATATGAATGTGGGCAATGCTAAAATGACTTACATTATAAAACGGAGGAAGTAAGTTACATTATTTGGGTACTTTCCAAAACAAAGTATCGTTATCAGATGCGTGGATCGGTTAATTTTGCAATTTTCAGATATGTGAAAAAAAAACTTCTATGGACTACCAAACACTTCAATTGAATCTTCTTTGATCCGTTGAAGCAGCGAACGGCTTGTCTTGTCAGTCGGGGAGTAGGTCTGCAGGAGCCAGGAGGGGTTCACATGTCTTGCTGTCCGCATTCCTCAAGCAGTTGCTGCAGTTGCAGGTACTTTTGGCACCTTCCACAACCTTGTCTTCTTCGAACCACTTCAAGAACTTGCAGGTCTCCTGATCTTGCTTCCCTTGTTTCTTGGGAAGTTTGGTCATCTTTTCAGCCCATTTCAAAGCGGAGGTCGTGTCCCCTTTCCCCAAGTAATGCTCCCGAAACAGCTCACATGTTTCGAAATCGAAATCACCACCTCTTTCCTTGACCTTCTCCCACAACAATTCAGCTTCATTGGTCATGCCATTCCTTAGATGAGCTCGGGTCAACATATTTGTCAGCCTCGGGTCATAGTTTTCATAACGATATTCCCACTCCTTATAAATCTCCTTCATCCGATCGGTGTCACCGAGTTTATAGAGACATTGAAGCATGAGGAGGTAGCTGAAGTTAGTCCTGTTATAAGAAAAAGTCATTTTTATGTCTTTCCACACTCTGTTGACCCCTCTCAAATTGCCTATTGATGCAAATTGCCTCATAAGGAAATAAAAAGGGTGCCTGCCATGATCAAAACCGAGAAATTCCTGAGCTCTCATAAAAGCCAATTCTGCCTCTTCAACCATACCAGCATTCATATAGATGGAACCGAGTGTTCTAAATATAGACCATTGTTTAGGCACATCTAATAGTGACATGTTGTAAAAAGTCTCTTTGACAGTATCTATCTTGTTGTGTGCTGCATGACTACGCATCAGAATGCAGCATGTGAGCTCATCCGGTTGAACATTCCTCTCTTTCATCTCATCAAACAGGTTAGCCACCTTGCTATGTTGGCCTAGCTCCAGGTAAAGGCCCATCAGGTTATTCATGAGCTTAGTACTGGATGGGATGCCAAGTTCGTCCATCCTGCGATAGATATTTGTAGCTTTCTCTTCCATTTTAGCAGAGCAATAACAGTTCAAAAGTGCACCATAAGTTCGATGGTTCTGGTCTCGAGTAAAAGAAGGGATGCCAGAAAAGTATTCCTCTGCAGCCTCAATGCCATACACACTGTAAAGGAGTTCCAAATGCAATGCATATCGAGCATATGTCATGCTCATACCCTTTGTATTAACCATCCAATCCATCAACTGCCAAAGAAACCAAGAAAAAATATTACATAAGCACAATAATCATAATCTAAACCCCAATTGCAGTACATACGGATTGCTCTGAAACAAGATATGTTGAGAAGTTCAGTACTAGTACTAATCTTTTGTGATCTTGAGGATAACTGAGCATATAGTTGCAACAACATGCTATTATATTGGAAAATTTCCATTTTACGCACCTGAACTTCCATATGGGAAAAATTCCATTTTACGCACCTGAACTTCCACAGAAGTCTAAATCGCCTCTGAACTTCTAAACCGGAGATTATTCATCCCTCAACTTTCCAAGTCGTTTGCTTTACACCCCTCAATCTAATCCATGAAGGTTTTTAGCTTGCGTGGTAGTCTAGTTAGCGAATTATTTTGGTGGGCTTCACAAGTTAACCTCTGTCTTCACGAACTGGCCATCGTATGCCTCACCGGTTGCCACACTCGTCCTAACAAGCTATCCCCTCCTGGCATGTTGCTTGCCTCGCTCATCGGCCACACCCTCTCCTCTCCTGGCCCGTCGTGCACCTAATTCACCCTCATCCCCAAGTTCGCCGGCCAATGCCTTCATCCCCGAGCTCTCTGACCACATTTTCCTCTCCCTGCTCTGCCTCACTTGCTGGCAGTAGGTCAGGAAAGTGGTCTCCTTTGCTGACCTACCGCCCATCTGGCTTGAGCATTAGGCTTGGGACAGGTGTTTTATTTCAATCTAATCATCCAATTTGCAATACACACTCATGGATTGAATTACGTTGCGTGGTTGATTCATGGATGCATTCTCGTCAACCAACTAACTTTTGGTACATATCATTCCGGAAGAAACATGCTGTATTAATATTATCTCTGCTGTCTCAAGGTGCATTTTACTTCTTGTCGTTTGCGCTAACTGTTTGGAGTGATCAAGCGCATATGTTCCTGCCGTACAGCGGCGGGCATGGAAAGGTTGCAAGGACATGTAGCAGGAGAAGTGAGTGAGGAAGAGGTAATGTGTTTTGGCCATTTCAAATTCAGCATTTCGGTAATACTTCCTCCGTCCCAAATTATAAGGACTATATTTTTTTTACACGGTCACCAATGACATACTTTGACCATTAATTTATCACATGTTATGTTTCCAACAGATAATAAATTAGCATCACATGAAAGAAATATAGTGATATAACATGCATAATACTTAACATATACTACTATATGGTTAGTATGATTATTAGTCAAAAGCTATCAAGTTTGATTTTTCTTTAAAAAAATGACGCCCTATAATTTAGGACGGAGGGGAGCTTTGTGGCTTGGAATAGACCCCGCGTCGCTCTCGCGCGGGCGGCTCGGAGGGCGAAAACCCTAGCCGCCTGTGCCTACTCCCCCTCTCCCCCGCCTCGCCACCGCCGGAGCTCGCCGGCGGCAAAGCTGGCAGCGAGCAGGGAAGGCGGCGGCGAGGTCCTTCTTCCTCTTGGCGGCTCAATCCCGGCGCGACGTGGACGGGGCGACGCCAATGAGGTACCCCACCGCTGGGAGAAGTGGAGGCGGCGGGGCGGTGTGGGGTGGCGGCGGATCCGGCACCCCCATGGCCGGATCTGGCGCGGCGGCCCGGCGGTGGTGCGCGGCTGGGGGCAGCGGCGGCGGCGTGGCTTTGCCGGCTGGGAGTAGCCGGCGGCGCGGCAGGCCCGTTACGGCTCGGCTGCCTGGGTACGGCCCGGCAGCTGGGAGCGGCACCTAGCAAGGCGGCGGCGGCTCCGGCGGCGCCCCGCCCGGATCCGGCGTCCCCGTGGCCGGATCCGACTCTCCCGGATGGCCAAGGTCTTTATGGCCGGCGTCGCCGGCGACGGGAGGACGGCGCCTGCACGACGGGACGACGCCGACGTCGAGGTCGATGCGTGCGGCGCCGTGTAGCGGGCCGACGCGGCAATGGCTGGCGCCGGTGATGCTTGCTGCCGCCTCGTGGATGACCGCCGGTGGGGGCTGCTGCCAGAAGGATGGCTACGTTGTGGGGGACCCGACTGGGACGCCGGCTTGCATGGCGGCGGCGGGGTCGTTGCGCGTCGCCCGTGTGGCGATGCTGCAGGTGTTGGCCGGTGGAGTTGCCGCCGGATCTGGGGTCGAGCTCGGATTCAGCCGCACAGCACTGCCATCACGACCGGCGATGACGAGGGGACGCCATGTGGGTGCCTTCTCATCTCCTTGGAGCTCCTCCCCTTCTTGACCGCTTGGTTGTGGGGAGCTCCTTTGCGAGACGATGAAGGCAGTGGCAAGGTTGCCCCAGGTTGTTATCGATAGTGATGGGTGGTGGCGGGCACTCTCTTTGGAGGTGACGGCATGGGAGGAAGGCTAGCTGGTCGCCGAAGTGCAGCGGTGGTTTGGTCGTGCTCGTTCCAACGTGTAGCTGTGGGGGTCGCGCTGGCAGTAGGTCAGGTCGCTTGGAGTCCAGCCGACGGAGGGGCGTCATTGCTGTAGAGGCCACGTGTTGACATTGCCTGGGAGTCGGTGAGGTAGCGGCAAGAGGGGTATTGGCAGGTGCTAGACGAAAGCCGGCCCAATTCTTGGGCGGCAACGGCGACGTCTTTGGACGTTGCAACCCTCTTGAGGGAGTTGTTGAGATGCCTCCCTCCCCCTCTTCAAGGATCCTCGAGGTGAAAACCTCATCCTTTCGGAATGGGCGATGGCGGCGTTTTGAATATCGTGACCTTCTTGAAGGCGGCGTTTTGAATATCGTGACCTTCTTGAAGGCATCATTTTGGAGGTGGCCGTGTATTCCTCTCGGTGTGGTGGTGTGTAGGCACGTGGCGGGGTTTATTTTCTCTTGTCCGGTTCCCCTGTCCCCTACTGCTTTTGCCTTTGGTTGTAAATAACTTTTTTACTCCTCTTAATGTAAAAATACGCTTCTAGCGTATTCTCGAAAAATTTGGGACGGAGGGAGTAAAAAGAAGTAGCGAAATACATTGTTAGGGACACATTTTGACTATTTTCATGAAAACATGGGCAAATACAATACTCAGCGAATACGCGGACAAATCCTAAGGGCCCCTTTGATTTGTAGGAAAAATGTAGGAATTTTGGAGGATTTCAATCCTATGGAAAAAAATCCTATGAAGGCCTTTGAGACAAAGGATTGAATCCTATTCAATCATTTAAAATTCCTATGGAATGGGTAATCCTATGCACATTTTGGAGGAAAGTTAGCAAGAGGTCTAACCTCTTGGAACATTTCCTCTGAGTCTATCTCTCTCATCTGATTCCTGCGTTTTTCCTGTGGTCCAATCAAACGGCCATTCCTGTGTTTTTCCTGTGTTTTGCAATCCTCTGTTTTACAATTGTATTCCTGTCAGAATCCTGTGTTTTTCCTATTCCTCTGTTTTTTCATTCCTACGATTCAAAGGGGCCCTAAACATTTGAAGGGTTCAGGTCAATTTTCTGTTGATCGATTCGATTCGATTTGATTTGCACTAATAATTCCCTGTGCAGATAGAGGCGCAAACAACAACAGTAAGCCAAGCAAAAGCAGAAGGCGCACACAGCCAGCCTGAGCCAAAGCCGTACGTACGTGTTTCGATGGCAAAGGAGGCGATGCACGCGTATTCCGTTCATACCTCGAGGGCGTGGGCGTCGCGCTTGACCTTGTGGAGATCCCTGGCGCACTTGGCGAGATCCGCCGCGGCGATCGCCTCCTCCCGCCCTTCGCGCACCCACTCGTCCAGCACCCGCGACACGCTCCCTTCCCCCGCCGCGTCCCCGAGCTCCAGCAGCCGCCGACCCAGCGGCCGCTTGTCCTTCTTCCCCTTCGCCCTCGCGGCGTGGGGAGCCACCGCCTCCGCGGCCTCCGCGCCGGTGGTGAGGAAGCGGCGGATGACGAGGCGAGCGGCGGCCGAGAGGCCGGGCGTGGGCGGTGCCATGGGTTTAGAGGGTTTCTGTTTGGGGGATTTACTATACGGTGGCCAGTTGTTATATTTATAGGTTTCCACACAGATTGCGCGACTAACATCGCTACATTTTCTCTCGTACAATATCATATATGTTTTCTCAATATATTATTCAAATATATTATTGTATTTTATATACATGTTAGTTATTAATTATTTTTAATATCAAATTTTAGTTATTTGTAAATTATATACCTATATGGACTCTAGACTCGTCTTTCAATATTTCATTTTTTAAATTCCGAATTTTTGACATATTCATTCATATTATATTTTATATGCGTGTTAGTTATTAATTATTTTTAATATCAAATTTTAGTTATTTGTAAATTATATTCCTATATGGACTCCAAACTCATCTTTCAATATTTCTTTTTTTTAATTCCGAATTTTCGTTATTTATAAATTGTATTTCTATATAGACTCTAGGCTCTTCTTTTACAATATTATTTATTTTTAATTCTGAATTTTTATTATTTCTAATTGTATTTCTATGTGGACTCTAAACTCGTCTTTCAATATTCTTTAATTTTTAGTTTCGAATTTCAGTTACTTCTAAATTGTATTACTATATTGACTTTAGACTATTCTTCCCATGTTTTTTTAATTTCAAATTTTAGTTATTTGTAAATTATATTTTTATACGACTCTAAACTCTACTTTTTAATTTTATTATGTTTATTCTGAATTTTAGTTAGTTTTAAATTCTTATATAGACTCTATACTCTACTTCTAATATTCCTTATTTTTAATTCCGAATTTCTATTTTTTCTTAATTGTATTTCTATATGGACTCTATACTCTACTTCTAATATTCCTTATTTTTAATTCCGAATTTCAATTATTTCCTAATTGTATTTCTATATGGACTCTATACTCTTCTTCTAATATTCTTTATTTTTAATCCGAATTTCAGTTATTTATAAATTATATTTCTATATGAACTCTAGTCTCCTGTTCTAATATTCCTTATTTTTTTAATTCCGAATTTCAACTATTTCTAAATTGTATTTTTATATGGACTCTGCTTTTTTTTCTCCGATTAATATGAGAATTTCTAGGCCGTGAGAGCGAACGTGGAGGCTTTTTTTTATATTCCTTTAAGAAGTTAATAGATTGGATCTATGCCATTAAAATATGCTGGTTTTGTAACGATGCCACTATTATTTAGGCTCCTTTTTAGATCCTACCCTAAAATTTTTTACCCTATCACATCGAACATTTAAACATCCACATGAAGTATTAAATATAGCTAAAAAATAACTAATTACATAAATTATGGTTAATTTACGAGACGAATCTTTTAAGCCTAATTGATCCATGATTTGACAATGTGGTGCTACAGTAAACATTCGCTAATGACGGATTAATTCGGCTTAATAAATTCGTCTCGCGGTTTACTGACAGATTCTATAATTTATTTTTTATTAGACTACCTTTAATACTTCAAATATGTATTCGTATATCCGATATGACACAGCAAAAATTTTCACCCCTAATCTAAAACACAGCGTTATTTGCTATACGGTGGCCGACTGTTTTATTGGGATATGTCAGCCAAATTTCTGTCCATTCGTTTCTCTTCAAGATTTGTGCGATCACCTGGGCTGCTGGGGAAACAACGGCGGCTCATTACCGTTTGTGCCCCTAAAGCCCGACCCAAAATATGGGGGTTCCTACCTGGCGCAGCGCTCACACCTAATTATTTATCATATTAGTTAACATTACTTAATTAGGAAAGATTTTAAAGAATTTTTAAGTAACATATTGAAAACTTTTTAAGTTAGATTTAGAAACTTTCGATTTAAGATTTAAATTTTAAAGACATTCAACTCAGATTCGAAAACTTTCAAGTTCAGATTTGAAAATTTTGAAAACTTTCAACTTGAGATTTGAAAACTTTCAACTCAGATTCGAAAACTTTCAACTTGAGATTCGAAAACTTTCAAGTCCATATTTGAAAATTTTGAAAACTTTCAACTTGAGATTTGAAAATTTTCAACTCGAGATTTAAAAACTTTCAACTCGATTTGAAAATTTTCATATCCAAATTTTAAAAATTTAAAGTTAAGATTTAAAAATTTCTAGTAAACTAACCACTAGCAAAAATAGGAAACTAATCTAAACTAATTATCCTATCTCTGCGGCAGGAACAACAAACAGCGAAAAAAGAAAAAAAAAAGAAGAAAACAACGGCCTCAAAAAAAAAAGGGAGAGAAGCGCAAGCGCGCGTGCATGGGCCTTGCGGGCCGGAAATACGCGCCGACAACGCACGCGCGCAAATTAGGATTCTCGCAAAATATGCACCCCAGCAGCCGCGTTGACGGCATGTCACTTCTTGCACTCACGCGCAGCTAGGAATAAGTTCACTTTAGGTCCCTCAAAATGTTGCCTGAGTTTGAAATTCATCCATGAACCGCACAACCAGATATAACACATCCCCTAACTTACAAAACCGTGCAAGTAAGATCCCTCAACAGTATATCTAGATCCAACTCCGCCACTATGCGCTTCCGTGATCACTTCCTGGACCGGGACAACCACCTCCGTGGCTTCGCAGAGCGCCCAGAGCAAGAAGAACACGACCGCCGCCTCGCTGCGGCTCTCGTCGCCATCACTGCCACCGGCCGCCGGGTGCTGGTGCTATTTTTTAATATTTTGTCACAATGCTGTTGTCCATGAGTCCCACCATTTTTTATTATTTTCCTGTGTAACTAACATGTGGGCCCCACAATTTATTATTTTTTTATTAAATTGCCACGTAAGCGCCACGTCAATGACATATAAGACGAAGACTTAGTCAAAGGAGCCACATAGGTGCCACGTCACCCTAAATCAAGGATAATACTGCCAAGGGATCTCGTTTGCATTGGTTCTTTAAGTTGAGAGATGTGTTGTATCTGGTTTTGTGGTCCAGGGATGAATTTCGAACTCGATGACAAATTGGGACCTCAAGTGAACTTAATCTGCGCAGCTACTGTTTGAAACAGTAATCCCTATTTTACCAACTTCGTCTCCTACACTCATGCGAGCGAAGAGAGAGAAGCTGTGGTCACCGGCGGCGACACGCAGTGCTGCCGCGACGCACTCGGCAACTTCTACGGTGAGCGGATCCCCTATGCTTGGCACAGCCGCTGCGCTCGGCGGAGCCTGTGACGAAGAAGTTTCACCGTGTTTTGTTGGCAACACAGGATGGTATTTCCCGAATTCGGGGAGGTAATTGTTAGGGTTTCCACCGTCGTCCGCGATGATTCCATGGGTGACATGGAGGGCTTGGAGGCTATGATGATTCACAAGGTGAAGTATTTTTGTTTTATGTACTGCTCCCTCTATATTTTAATGTATGAACCGTTAACTTTTCGATCAACATTTGACCATTCGTTTTATTCAATTTTTTTTGCAAATATAAAAATATTTATATCATGCTTAAAGAATATTTGATGATGAATCAAGTCACAATAAAATAAATGATAATTACATAAATTTTTTGAATAAGACGAATGGTTAAACGTTGGACAAAAAGTCAACGACGTCATACATTATTAAAATATGGAGGTAGTATTATGATAGCATCACAGTTCTGCTTGTTTTTGTTTTGAGCAAGGATGATTCAAATGGTTCTGCTCAGATATATATGTTTTTTGCCTAGACACCGTGGCTCAGATATGAGCAAGGATGATTTGAACGAACAAAGTGACTTGTCCATTTTTTATTTAGCGTCCAGGGGATGTTGTGTTGGCAACAATGTCCTGGCGAGAGTTTGACATCTGATGCATCTGGATTTGTTATTTTAACTCTATATTATTTGCTTGATCCGGTTCGATCTATGTGAGTTGGGAACATCATGTAATTTACAGCCTTTTTGGTTATGCAAGATATATAGGGCCATGCGATTATTCCATTATTTTGTATCCATTTCCACTATGTACATAGCTAGCCCAACTTCTTGGGTCCATGATCCTCCATTGTAGATTGGATCTGCCATACATTATTCATTGCTCCATTGTTTATTTTTTGGATGGGATAAGGGAAGTAAGACTTTGTGCTTTGTCAGGTCTTGTCATCTGGTGTGGCATAAATCTTCTCTGGGGTGGGCATATACATGCAGCTAGAGATTAGCATGTTAGGAACTCTAACGATTTCTCCCTCAAATTAACTGGATAACAGAGTACACATACAAAAGCCCTGTTTGTTTCAGCTTAAGATTATTATAATCTAGATTATTGAGTCAGATTACTCTAAACTGAATTATAATAAGCCGACATAGAATAAGTTGTTAGCTGTTTGTTTCTTTGGATTATTAGTTGTTTGTTAGTTGTTAGCCGCCCAATAATCTAAAAAAGCACCTTTAGAGTGGATTACTGGATTATAGTAATCTGGCTTATAGATTATAAAAATCTATCATAATAAGCTATCTATTTGTTTCAGCTTACTTCCAATAATCCAGATTATAATAATCCTAAGCTGAATCAAACAGGGTCTTAATCCATCATGATCAAGCTGCCACCGCCTACGCCAGCGCGCATCCAGTTAATCGTCGCCTTCTTCCTACTCTGTTCTTTTTATATTAGAGCAGGTACAATAGCAGGCTTAAGTCAGCTATAAACATATTTTAAGGATATAATAGAGGAGAGAGAAGAGCAACGGGCTACAGATTCGTAGCCAGCTGTAGCACGGACTCCAAGACACAATGTGTGTATTACAGGTGGGACCAGATATTAATAGTGTAGTACGTAACTATTGTATGAATTGGCTATTAAGTTAACTATAGGTGATTTGGAGCTAGTAGTTGGCTACACTATTAAACTTGCTCTGACAAGTATAAGAGTTTGCAGCATCTCTCTCTCTCCAGCTGGATTGCCAGCTGTTACAAGTTAATGGGCTTCACTTGGCCCATTGGTCTCCGACATAGCGTGGGTTGGGCCGTCTCGCTCTTGGATGCATGGGTTGTTCTTCCTGTAGCTTGTCCGGCATGATCTCTCCCGCTTCTCCAGCTTCTTCTGCATCTTCAGAGTTTCTCCGCTTGATCTTGATGTCTTGTTCTGCATCTCCTTCCTTGTCTTCCTCACGAACGTCAGGCTTCTCGATCACCTTGTCTTCCTGTAGTTGCAGAGAAGGCTTGACAAGCCCCCATTCTTGGAAACCGGCTTGCCCCCAAGCTGGTGCTTGAGGAAATCTGAACTGAAGGTCCTGCATATCTTCCCATGTAGCTTCTTCAGCTGCACCCCCTGTCTAGTGAGTTAGTAACTGAATAACAAAAAAATTATGTTTCTTGGACACTCTATAATCAAGAAACTGTTTAGGGACTTGAAAATGGCTGAGCTCTAGGGGTAGTTCAGCTTGAACTGGCCAAGAGAAACCCCTAGCACCCTTCAGTTGTGAAACATGAAACACTGGATGTATCTGGCTAGATTTTGGCAACTTCAGCTTATAATCAACAGCTCTAACTATTGCTATCACCTAGAATGGGATGAGTGCGGGAGGGAGGAAGGGACGAACGAAGCGTTATATATTTTTTTAATTATGTATAGATATACAAACCAATAAATTTATGGAGCTAGATATATCCAACTTTTAAAAAAAATGGATCTTAAGCTGTGCAAAATAGAACTAAACGTGTGCATGTACAAAACACGTTGATATATATTGCACGGAGTAAATCGAAGAAAATTCAATCTGGCAAGGGAAACATTTTGAAGCTAATTCGAGAGTAAGGTAGGAGCTACCAGTTAATCTAAACATGACTAATCGTCCACCTCAACTGTCAGGCCCTGCATGCAACTGAATCCATCACATCCACCAAGTTCTGAATGGATGTAATTCCACCTGGCTTGTTAGTGATTGCGTGGGTAAAGCACCGAGCTCCCACCCTTTGCAGCATATTCATGCTAGCATCAAGCTCCTTCATATCCCAGTGTCCCGTCTTCCAACGATTTTGCAACCTAACACCATCATCCTTCAGTTCATTTTCAGCCATGATTATAACTTGTTAGTGCTTAAAGTGCTGCTGGGTGGGCTGCTTGACATCAATTTCATCTCCAGCCATTTCAAGGACCTCCAACTGAAAGGGTTTTCCTGAGAACCACCCTGCGTCAACACCAAACAAATTGTCCGTGACACTCGCTATGACTTATGAGATGATACCATAGCGAAGGATCTTAAAAAAATAATAAAATCAAGGGTATGACTGCTCCCCGAATTACGAAATGTGACCATATAATTGTAATGGTTAGAGTAGGTTTGGTATTTGCCTATTTTGTTGCCTTACCAAAATGTAGTAGATGGCAAAAATCCAGACATGCCCCTAGTCTCAACTCTCAACTCCTTCAGTGGAGATAGCTTTGAGCGATTCAAACATTTCAGGCCGAATATCAACCCTGTCAACTTCCATGCGCTGAGGGATGGATGGATTTGTTCTACCTACAGATATATAGGTCCGGATCAAGGCTTCATAGGCTTCAGCATCAAGGCGACCGAGATTCTTCAGGCATTCACAGAACGTCTCCATCCCATCCACATCCTTTGAATCCTCAAAGTGCTTCAGATATCTGTTCACAAGCTTTTCTGGCACCCAATCCTGCCCCTTCACCATTTTCTTTGCATCTTTCCAGACCTGCAGTGCCTCATTCATTTTAGATTTCTCCAAATAGAATTCTGCGAATATGCAAAATGTTCTGTAGTTGGAATGATCCTGAGCCATGGTTGTCTGACGCATAGCCTCAGCTTTGTCTACCATGCCCTTATCAAGGTAAGCTTGGATGATAATATTTGGTATTTTCATGTCATAGTGCTCATGGCTTGATTCCCATTCCTGAAAGATTTGCTGCAGGGTGTCAAAATCATCCAACTTTTTCAGAGCTTTAAGCATCACTAGATAGCTTCTATTTGTGCATTTCTTGAATGCAGACTTTAAAGACTCCCAGATTCTCTTGACCTCGGACAAGTTGCCGGAATTGGCATAGTGGGAGAGAAGACAATGCCAAGAGAAAACGTCATGCTTGTCCAGAACTTCCTCAGCTTTCTTAAGGGTGAATTCTGCCTTGTCAAACTGCTGCAGCTTATTATAACCGTTAGCAAGTGTAGCATACAAGGACCAAGGAACTGAATTTACCTCCTGCAATTCTTTCAGGACCTTCTCAGCGGACTCTATGTCATTCATCATAATGTAGCTTTCTGTTAGCACAAAGTATGAAAACTTGTTTGGTTGTATACCACTTTCTTGCATTTTTACAACTGTAGTGGGGATTTTCTCTGGTTGATCTGTCTTCAGGTATAAGCACATCAAATTGTTGTACACCAATATATCTGAAACAATGTTCATCGCTTTCATATTTTCATAGAGTTCTAGGCCTTTCTCTGCCATCCGGTGCTCAGCATAGCAGTTAAGCAGAGTGGAATAAGTTTGCTTTGACCTGAAAATATCTGGAAGGCTCCCGAAGTACTCTTCTGCAGCATGTATACCATTCAGTTTGCTAACAAGGTCAAGCCGCAAAGCATGATGCTTGAGCTCCAAGTTCACTCCACGAGCTTCCATCCAGTCCATCAACTGTAAACATGAAAACATGGTCAGTCATCACATGGCCAACGAAAAATACCTTGCCCAGCTGCCCCCAAAAGGGAGAAAACCCAACTCGAATGTTCAATGTTTCTTATGATACAGAACCCTGAAGGAAAGAGAACAGTTCTGTAAAACAGAGTATTTATCTTTTCTGATGATTGCAATGGTGCAAAAGACTCGAAATTACAAAAAGTAAATCACACAAATTGACATCAGTTTATATCGGACATACAATTACAAATATATAACCAAAGTGACAGGAACATCTTTATGTGGTTACCACACAAAGTTGAAATGTAATAAGCACAAAGGAGCCCACAAAGCTTTTGATAGAAAAGAACTGAGACCAAATACAGCATGCCATTCCAATTTAGGTCAACCGCTCAGTGTAGCGAATAGATATTGCCACCCACCCAACATTGCTTCACCAGTGGCAGTGTAAGCAATACCATTACTATTTGTTTGACAGTGTTACTGTACCAAATTTCTGTGATGAAAAACAATCAGTTGATTGCAGGCTCTGTTTTATGGAAGACGATTATTGCTAAACTATGTAAAAGCTACTCCCTCCCTCCCAAAAATATAGCTACCTTTAGGACTTCTCAAGGAGATTATGAAAGTATATAGAATTAAATGGATGAAGGTTGTGATTGGTTGAGATAGGTGGTAGATAGAGAAATTAAATGAAATGGTTGAGACGAAGAAGTATGTAGAGAAATTAAATGAGAGATGATTGTGATTGGTTGAAAGAAGAAAGTAGATGAAGAAATTAAATGAGAGATGGTTGTGATTGGTTGAGATGAGAAAGTGATGAAGTAGCAGCTATATTTTGGAATAAAATTTTAATGCTAAAGGTAGCTATACATTGTGACGAACAGAGCAAAATATAACAGCTTGTTATGACAGTTGTGTGCATTAAACAAGATGCGAGAGACTGCATATATTCATTAGTACAAAAGCTAGTAGAGATAAGGATGATAATGGCAAGTTTTCTTCTATTTGTAAGGAAGGTCTTATTAAAGAGCAAGAGTGATGACATGTCATATGATAAATTGAACTAGGAATCAAACATATCATTGAATTTAGTAAAATGAAGGATAATGGTAGCAACCTAAAACTAATTCAGTAACTCAAGTTAAGACTACTTTAAACTTAAGGAATGCAATGTTGCTTCAGAATTCTGAATCACATAAATGCATCCAAAGAAAGATTAAAGGGCAAAGCAAATATTATTCACATGAACTATGAGGACAGAGGATTAAGAAAATAAGCATTTAAAGCCGGATCCATTTCTACCATGGATGTAGTATGTTTTTGCTAATATGGCATATAATCCCCAGCACATACACTGAATCAGTAAACGGAAAAGGTATTATGCCCCTTCCCTGTCACATAGCTCCAATGTGGAAAAATGACCTACTAAACAATGGTGGTATCAGTCAAGGAGGGTTACGTGTGCTAGGTTTAGAAGGAAACTGCTGCATTGCTAATGTAGTCCATTTCAGGATATAGGCATGATAACATGTCAGATTTATGAGGAAAACAACTAGTAGTACAGAGCTAATGTAACCTGATGGGGTGATACATAGAGATCAAGGACACACAGCTCCTAGGAAAACACAGGTACATGACTAACACGACTACCCCTGGTTTATCTTGCATCGTTAAACTGGATCGAACTAGCTCATTTGGGCTTAGCCAAGAGAAGCAGGGCTCCCCATTTGGTTGCACTACAGAAACAAAGGAAGCAGGCATGTGCGAGTTGGACATTCTTCATCTGCTTGCCCACTTGGGAGAGCCAGTTCAGCTCTTCTCCATCGGCAATATTTCCTCTGCCGTTAGCCCATTACTGGGTGTATTGCTGAGTAAAGGTAGTTTCTTTCCTGTACTGTCCTCACTGCACATCAAAACACACTTGAACTGCTTCAATATGGATATGGATATGGATTTTTTTTTTTGAAAAAAGGAATTATACAAGCAAGCAAAGTTCCACATAAAAATGGAAACCTGATGGTTAACATCTTGGTCTTGGTATACATCAACCATTCCGTATTATCCATCAAATTATACAGAGGCAGTTTAGGTAGTCTGAAGATCATGAAGAAAAATCCACAGTAAAATATATTTTGATCCATATGACCAACAAAAAACAGACTAACTTTAAACAAGACAAGGACCTTCTGAGTTCTCCCCTCTTCTACAATACATTAATCAAGCGTAGGATTAAGCTTAATCCAGTATGACAGTTCTTGGAATACCAGAAGCAAATATTCAGTTCAGTCACAATCGTTAAAGAATCAACAAATATAGGTTCTCAGTTCTGGCCTGCGTTTCCCTTAACAAATTCTCGAAATAACGGGGAAAACACATTATGCTGCTAGATTACTACTAGTACATTATAGTTCCCTAAGATATTGGCAAATGCTATAATATTACAAACGGAGTTGTTAACACAAAATTACCCTAAAATACAGTGTAGATAGGACGAAACAATTGGAGTTTCAACCGGATCCAATCGACTGAAACCTTACCATTACATCCCCAATCCAAATTAAGCCAGAGTTTTCGCGGGAGGGGACTGGGGTCTGGGGGTGGGTGTGTGTGGGGGTGAGGGGGCTCACCTGGAGGGCGTGCTTGTTCTGCTTGAACTTGCGGAACCTGCGGACGCAGAAGAGGACCTGCTCCTCCGAGAGCGGGCGCCTCTCGCGGAGCCACCGGCCGAGCTCCTCCACCATTCCACCCGACGGCAGGTGCGCCGACAGCCTCGCGTAGAGCGCCCACCTCGCACCATCCAGCGGTCGCCGCTCCGGGCTCGCGTACTGGAGACCGCGCGCTTGTCTCCTCGGGGCCTGTGACTGTGGGAGGCGCCGGAGCGCCGCCGTGGCCGCCGCGCGCAGCATCGCTAGGCGCTAGGCAGTTCTTTTGGTTTTGGAGGATCTGTGATTTTTTTCTCTTTTTGAGAGGGTTTGGGGTTTTAGGAGAGGAATAAGTATTCTCTCCACCCCTAAACTTATATAAAACTGTGTAATTTGGGTCTCATAACATTATAGATATTTCACTTACGTGACATCTTATTAGTCAACAAAAAGTAAAAAAAAAAATATGTGGGACCCACATGTAAGTGAGAAAAAATTGTAGGCTCTACATTTTTTTCCTTCTCTTTTCTCTTTCTTTTATTCTCTTCTCTTATCTTCTCTTCTTCAGCTGCTGCTGGGGCGATTCGTCCACGGCGACGACGTGCACCGAGGAGGCGGCGACCGCCTTTTTCCCCCTCTCCCGTTAGCCTCATCTCCCCCACTTCGGCCCGCCTCCTCTCCCCCCTCTCCCGCCGGCGTGGCCAGTATCCTTTCCCCCCTCTCCCGCCGGTGCGGCTGCATCTTCTCCCCCCTCTGGCCGGCATCCTACGATGTGTCCAAGCTCGCTCCCAGCAGGTGTACGGCTGTATCTTCCACCTTGTCACGTTCGCGTCCATGCCCGTCGCGTTCACGCCACCGCCGCCAGATACGGAGGCGAGGCGAGGTGCCACCAAGAACACCTCCGACGTGCGGCTGAGGATGCGGATGACGCCTTCCATCTTGCACACATCGGGTTTATTGTCTCTCGCCATGCCATTCTCTCCGCCAAGGGCCGCCACTTCCTTGTCGTCGCCAGTGCATGGGAGCTCACGCTCGCGCTCGCCGCTGCAGCGTCACGGCGCCCCTTCGCATCCCTCCACCTCACTGGAGGCGGCGCCATCAGCGGCTGCCCGCTTCTCTCCGACTTCAGGTGGAGCCTCCCGGAGGTGGAGCCCTACCCGGCCAACCTCTTCATGGCCGACTCGAGCATGTCCTGTGGCGTGCAGGCGACGGCCAAGAAACTTGACCTCGAGGCGCCAGTAGTAGCAACAACAGCCACCAGCGACAACAATGGCCACAGCGAGCTCCAACTCTGCTCCCAAATGTGGTGCGGCCGGAGGGAGACCCGTCGGCATGAGTTCCGACGGTGCTCTGTGTGCGGCGCGGCCAACTACAGCTCTCGCGTGAGCCAAGTGCTGGACTGGAATGCACAAGGCGCAGTGCATGCCCATGGACTTGTGGCTCCTCATCGACGGCGAGGCCTAGTGACTCTCGCCGCCGCCGCACCAACTACGTCTCCCCCTCCCTCCTAGCTCATCGGCTGCCTCTCCCCCTATCTATCTCATTATGGGGAAGAAAAGAGAAGAAAGAAGAGGCTGACATGTGGACCCCACATTTTCTTTTTGCTGTCTAGGATGCCACATCAGCGAAACTAATCATCTATACTGCAGCTACTGCTATGGGACCTCAATCGCACGGTTTTGTATAGTTTAGGAGTGAAGATTTCTGGTATTGGGGTTTAGGGATGTTAGACAAACACGATGTAAAGTTGAGGGACGGCAAGTGAACTTATTCCTTTAGGAGACGGTGATGCTACCGTGCGCATGTAGGCCCACGCGGCTCACGGCCCGCTGCTTCCTTCCTAACAGTAACAACGTATCCTGCACGCGCTACCCAAGCACTAAGCATCCTGCTCGAGTCTTTTCAACATGATGATTTTTACATGGCTAAAACTTTCGACCCGGATTGAAAAAACTTTCGATTCAACTCTAAAATTTTCAATTAAAATTAATTATATTAAAAAATAGATTCTAAGCCTAAAGCTTCCTACTTATGGATTAAAACTTTCAATTTGACTCCTAAAACTTTCAATCTAAAATCCCACACTTTCTACTTGTAAATTAAAACTTTCAACTCGAATCACAAAAATTTCGACTAAAATATAAAAAATTGATCTAAAATTGCAACAACTTGATACCAGATCATCACATGTGTGAGACTCCATGTTTCTCCCACCTCCGGAGCAACACGGATGTGACATAGTGACTTTGCCGCCACCACCTTCTTCCCTCCCTCCTCTCCTTTGCATCGTCACCGCCCACGTGGCCCGCCAGCAAGCTGGATGGGCCTGCGACGACCGTGGTAGGGCTCTCCCTTTCTCCTTCTCTCCAAAACACCTTTGCTTGGGCTACGAAGGGAACCGGAGAGGCTTCGCCTAAATCTGGCCACTTGGCTGCCGTTCTTAGTAAGAACGACAACAGATGGAGGGGTGGAGAAATCCAAGCCAGCGCAGTGAACTGGCTGGCAGCGATGGAAGGTGGTGGTGCTGGGGTAGAGGGCGTCAAGGAGACGGCTTGGTCAGCCAGGGGTTGGGAGGTGGACGGTGGCCGGATCCACGACCATCGGGGTCGGACCCACCCAAATTTGCTTAGTGGGAGCTCGATAGTGATGACGACTACCGCAAGGAGGTGTGACGACAGGGTCAATGGATGACTGCAGCACCCGATTTGGCAGTGCCGAGGCTAGATTCACATCCTTAGAGTTAGCGCGTGTGGAGTGCCGCGCCTGATAACGATGGTGGTTGTGGGCAAAGGTGAGGCCACCCTCATTGAGGTAAGGGGAAGGGTGGAGTTGCTGCTCCCTCCCCTCCCGTGGACACTGATGGGATGCAGCGGGCACGAACAACTGTTGTGGCGATGGGAGGGAGTGACTATGGCAACTGTTGGGTGTGTCCCTGGTGGTGGCTGCTCCCCTCCACTTGTCAACGGGCCCTCATTGAGGTAAGGGGAAGGGTGGAGTTGTTGCTCCCTCTCCTCCCGTGGACACTGATGGGATGCGGCGGGCACGAACAGCTGTTGTGGTGATGGGAGGGAGCGACTATGGCAACTGTTGGGTGTGTCCCTGGTGGTGGCTGCTCCCCTCCACTTGTCAACGGGCCCTCATTGAGGTAAGGGGAAGGGTGGAGTTGTTTCTCCCTCTCCTCCCGTGGACACTGATGGGATGCGGCGGGCACGAACAGCTGTTGTGGTGATGGGAGGGAGCGACTATGGCAACTGTTGGGTGTGTCCCTGGTGGTGGCTGCTCCCCTCCACTTGTCAACGGGCCCTCATTGAGGTAAGGGGAAGGGTGGAGTTGTTGCTCCCTCCCCTCCCGTGGACACTGATGGGATGCGGCGGGCACGAACAGCTGTTGTGGTGATGGGAGGGAGCGACTATGGCAACTGTTGGGTGTGTCCCTGGTGGTGGCTGCTCCCCTCCACTCGTCAACGGGATGATGGCGACATTGCTGGCTGCTGTGCAGATGAGAGGAAACGGTTTCAATGATGACAGGGTGTGGCGGCTATTGTGGCTATGGGAGGGAGTGACTGAGACACTGTAGTTTGTGCCAATGATGGTGGCTGCTCCCCTCCTCTCTTTGATAGGAGGATGGCGACATTGCTTGCTACTGTGCGGATGGGAGGAAACAACTTCGACAATGACCGGGTATGGCCACGTTGACATATGTCCCTGTCCTATCGTGTTGCTTGCTAGTGTCTTCCCAAGGTAGCAGCAAGGGGTGAGCACCGCTAGGCAGCAGCGATGGTGGGACTTGTGCAGGGAAGTGCGGAGGCGGCCCTCTTGCATAGCAACCTCTTGCTTGTGTTTGTCGAGCATTGGTGGGGTGGTGGTGAGATGGTTGTGTGCTGAAGGTGCTCGGAGAGTGGAGGTTGCTAGTAATGACGGAGACGCTATCACATGCGAGGGTTGGGAGACTCCGGGTGAAAGGCCTAGTCCTTTTCGGGCCACTAGTGACGACACTCTTGGGCACTGTAACCCTGTTAGGGGCATTGTCGTGGTGTCTCTCCTCTCTATGGTTGAATCCTCAGGTGAAAGCCACGCCCTGGTTCCTAGGACGGGCGACGGGGCGCCATTGGCATTGCAACCTCTAGAGAAGCTTCGTTTGGAGGTCCATTTCCGACAAAACTCTTTTGCAGACATTGTCCTCTTGTGGTGGCATCCTAGTCATCCCATGTTGGCGGGCCTTGTGGGCGATAGCAGATCCACTCTTCTCTCTCGCCCTCTCCCCCTCCAACCCAAAGATGTGGATGGAGTCAAGTACGTTTGGATACCGTGCTCCTGTCCGTTCCCAACCAGCTGTAGTGGGTGTTTGTGTCATAAGCGCTTGGCATGGCTGTTTTTTTTTTCTGTTTTCTTGATTATAGCCTTCCAGGGCTATTGTCTTGTAATTTTTTTACTGCTATATCAACATAACACCTCTCATTCTATTGTATGGTTCGTTAAAAAAACTTCGTACCCAAATCCCTAATCTTTCATATCACGGTTTTTAAAAGCTTCTAACTCAAAAATTCAAAACTTTTAACTCAAATATGTGCATCGTTTTCTCGATATTGTTGTCGGCTTGTCAATGAGAAAGAGGCAAAGCTGATGTCTCGTCAGGAGGAACAACCTCAGCATAGAAGAGGAAGAACGATAAGCTGATGTCGTCCCGAGCTCGCTAACGTCTCACCAGAATGAAGGAAGGAATAAGGTGATCCCCAACCTCCTGGCCTCGTCGATGGAGAAAGAGGATGGGTGTAGCCGTGTAGGAGGAGCGGTGGCCAGCGATTGCGTCGAGGATGGGTGTAGGTACAGGGGAGCGGCTAGTGCTACATGCGTTGAATGCGGAGGCTACGGAGTGGAGTGAAGAAGTGTGAGGTGGGAAATCATGGATGGAAGGGATGCAGGTCGTCTGCAGTACTGCACTAGGATCTCAATTGGGATGAAAGAGGTAAGGGTGTCATCGCGAGCGAACAACTTAGCAGGAAAAATAGGATAGGATGCGAGATGGGTCTAATGTATGATGGGCTATCACTCGAGAACGACGGTAGTCAATTAATGGTGTCTTCTCACGTCTCCAGCATGATCACAGGAAAGGCTAATTTTTAATAACCGTTAAGAAAACTACGGATGATCTCATCCACCAAAGAAATAGGAACAACGGTTCTTAAACTAACTGGCAGAGAAGGGGAGATCGCTCCTCTCTCTCTTTCTCTCTCCCTCGGCGGCCCTCTCGACAACTGACGCGATGGTTGGAGCGATGGTTCCCAACCATCGTGTCCTGCGGTTGCCACCGCTTCACATTGTATAAATTGTACACTTT